CTGAATTGAAGTCCTTCAGGACTGGATCGAAGAACTTGTACAACTTCTCCAGGATGTACCTCTTGGCACGCTGCACACCCTGTGAAGTCCCACTTCCTGATGCATCCTTGGTGCCATCATGTTCACCGTCGTCCCCATCTCCTTCTTGGCTATCCCAGCTGTTCTTCCTCTTCCGGGGGTTTGGGTTGGCAACCGCCTCAAAGGCTGCCTCAAGCCCATTGATGAAGTTTGGTGGCACCATGTGTACCATCTTGGGCTTGACACTCTCCTTGAACTGTAGATTCATTAAGCAGTGCAGTGTTGTACCTCTCAGTAAGGAGAAGTTAACATATAAAACGCAGCAGATACACAAAACCTCCTCAACAAGTGACTGGAATGGTTGTGTTTAGGGTTTGTAACAACCTCTCGTTTAGTCTGTATTTCCACAGTAAAGAAACAGGTTTCTATGCTTACCGTTTTGAGGCTGACCCTGTTGACCTGCTGCTGGTCAAGAAGGTCTCTCTCCCTGAAGCCCATTTCGTAGAGGGTGCTGAACATGTCCATGGTAGCCTTGGCTGATCCTGGACTGTTAAAAGCAGGCTTGAAATCCGACTTCCATTTCTCATATGCTGTGTAGAACAGCTGGAACGGCCTACAGCCGATTTCGAAGCCTATTTTTGATGCCATATCCCGAACCTCCACTGGAATGCCTTGAAGGCCAGGAAGGTCACCTGGACTAGGTTCAGGAACGTTCTGAATAGCCTCCTTCGATAATGCGAAAGGAATGGGTAGCAAAGAAAGAGGGAATCGTGCTTGACAAGTAAAGCAAGCAAAATCATCAGGATAATCGGCGGCGCAAAAGGTCACAGCTTTACCATGCGCTCATGTGCTGATTTCAATTCACAGTATGCCTCGGACTCTTCAGTGGTAACAGTTCCTGTAATGGCTGTGACCTCTCTCCTACTGCAGTAGCTGTGCCGTGATGTAGGGCGGACAAGGTCGACCGCCGGCTGCACTGCTTGGTCGATCCTTCTACGAAGTCGG